ATCCAAAGGATTCCGGAAACCGTCCGTATGATTAACAACATGATGAATATACCCATGAATCGATAATTGACGGTATCCGCTCCATTCATCTGTATGAATAGTCGTGAATTTTCTGTTTCATAAGCTGTAGCTGTGACTGCTCTTTCCAGGACCCAGAAGTTACAGATCATTAAAATTTTCGTCAAAGGTAGTTTAGACCTTGAGAAAAAAGCTCCTAAGGGATCTGTAAACTAAAAAACAATGACAAATCTTCTCGAACCGATTTCCTCCTTCGGCACTCAATACATCTGTATACAAAGCCATCAATGGCCTCTGTGTATATTTGTATATGCATAACTCCTCCGCATTGGCAAATTTTCGACCTGGCTATCAATCCGTTATCCAAACAGTAATCGAAAACATCCATGATTACTTCCGAAAATGATACAGTCAGCTGATTCCTTGCTCAAGGTCACTTTTTTGTTCGAAGGTCGTTTCGGTTTGGGCCGCTATTCTTTAGAGTCACCAAAAAGGACTATGTCATACTTCGTAGAACTCTGAAGACTGACCGTCAGTAGGACGGGTGGTATCCCATTGGGCCATATCGTTGACATTGTCACTGAAAGGTACTTGATGTCTTGCAACAAATTTACTGAAGGAATTTTGTCAGACTCTGAGCACCCACTCTGCCCGCAGTTCCAACTTTGTGTCTCCTTAGGTAAAACAAGAAGGCTTTTCGGAATAGTTTATGCATGTACGTCTGAGTATAAAAATTCCACTATACCATATTTGGCACGTACTTTTTGTGATGAAGATAAAGGCAGGCATGAAATAACTAACTTTCTTGGCATTACTAAATATACCATTTCCTCCACCCTCACAACATCAACTGTCAAGGAAATTATCCCTACGTTCCTGTTGTTACGAAGACGCTCCGCAACGATTAATACTATGTACTTTCTTCGACTTTAACTCCAAAACACCGGTATTGTAAGAAGGAAGTTATATTGTTTGGCAATTAAGGCGGGAAATAATACAAGTTTTTATTCGTTTTTCGTTCGTCTTCGCCGAACTTGTGCACGGTCAAACCATTCTCGCCTTCGAGTTGCCCAACAATGGCTACCAGTTCCAAAAATAAACGTTTAACGTTCACGTTCATTGACGTCGATCTTGATTGTTATTGTACTTCTTGTATCTATAATCCTCTCAATTTTTTTGTTTTCGTTTGTTCATTTCTTCATAAGTGTGAGCACCATTTAAGCTGTGTTATAACTGTTAATTTTGTATTTCCCCTCCTCATACTATATCAACAGAACTTTAGATTCAATACTCTAAAGCATGCCAAAATTTCCAAACTGAGTCGAAAATACTGTTTGAAACAAACTCATTGTAATTATCATTGAATTTAGTATTGTCAACTCGTGCTTCGAATATTTTTGACTTTATATCACAAATGCAGACAAATTCCTCTGGTTAATTTTGTTTCAATTTTTAATTTCATTTATATTTTGAGTAAACGAGATGAAATATTGTGACAAATGCTGAGAATTCTATTCTGTATTAAAAGCACTGTTTTTGGAATGAAGTAGATTATTATTATTATATCTCTGTTCTGTCTTCATACCACTGTTAATAAATGCATCCCTTAATAGGTGTAAGCGCCATACTTTTCCTCTACTAGTTGGGGTGGTGTTCGGCATAGGCTGGTCACCAGGTTAGATGACCACGAAAAAGAGCCAGCATGTATTGAAGTCAAAGCTCAGGTCTAGAAGGATAGGCGTTCACACGGTAATAATGAGCGTATGTCTAGCTGAAGTCATTCGGAAACGAGTTTGGAGTCGTTCATGAAGTGTCACTAAGTGATTTCTTAAATGCCATCTGTACCACGAACTGATTTAGTACATTTCGTAAACGTTATATTAGCGTTTGACCACACTTTTCGCTTATCATGATTAAAGTGGTCACAAAAAGCAACCGTTTCAAACAGAATGTCATTTCACCAAGGAGGAAGGTATACAATTTATTTGAAACGATGCAATGATATTAGAGTGGTATCTTAAACTTGTATTCGCTCGCCATCAACCTACATATAATATGGTAATCCGTCACCTAAACGTTTCTGGTAAAATTTGGCTTTAATCCAACTGATGTGCTTATTTGGAAGGCATTTGAACCCACCGCAACCTGGAAACTTAAGTGGATCGATATCGAGGAAGGTGATATCGACTAGTTTTGTCTACAAAAGCGTAACAAGAGATGAAGAGGTTCTACCGGGTAGAGTCGGGCAAAACATCTGTTAAAGATGTTGGAGTGCTCCCGATATATGTATATAAACGTGAGGGCTACCGCAAAATTAGAGAAGTCCTCAAGACTGGAATAACTAAACGTCGTATACATTATGAAAACCATTAGCATATAACCCTTGGAGACCACGCCATTGTGCTTAGAGTGGGACCACAGGGTAGTTGTGACCTGGTCAGTGATGAGGCCCTGCTTAGCTACAAAACATTTTAGTTCCTTTCAATAACTTGGTTGCCAAGGAAGAGGAGGGACTTAGTGGGAATAGGCAACTGATGTATGAATATTCTCCAGCTTATCTGAAACATACAGCTATTGAAGTGCTGAGAAAAATAAACATGTCAAATAGTCTTCTTATGTGAAAATAAATAGTCTAGTGATATGCAAACATTACTGCTGGGCCCTGAATATTCGTTTAACAAATATTAGGGTGGCTGGTTACCAGAGGGTCTAAGCATATCGTTTATGTAGTATCCTTTAAGGCACGTAGTCAAGCCTTCAAGATACGATTTTGGTATGGCAAAAGGCTTGCGAGGGTCTTCAGAATAATATAAAACAAAGCGTAAGAATGTTAAGGGTAATCACACCACATAGGAAATAGTATACAGAGTGGGACAACTCAGTTGTCAGTTAGCAATGAAGAAATACGAAGGAACAAGAGGAATAACAGAGCAGGAACTATTGACTCGTTTTGACTTCCAAATCCCTCCATTATTAAATGGTATTGAATGGTGATTACTGTTCCGTTTGTCTGACTGGGTTTTTCAATTACCAGCGTGGTTACTAAATACGCATTCAACACTAAATAATGTCTTCTTGTCCTGTAACATCTGTATGGGGCTTTGAGAATGTCTGATGCGAGACTTCCTGGTGCGCAATCAGCCCTGGGGCTGAAAACAAAAAAACGTGGCTGTATACTTTCAGAGGTTTCTACTATAGATGGTTAACTTAAGGCAAAATAATCACAAGCAGTATATGTCTCATGAATTTTTGTTCTAGCACACACGAGTGAGATGTTATAAAATACAGCCATCATTAGAGGAACTTTTTAAAGTGGCCTCAGATCACTGAAAACGTCATTTGATTTAGCTGGATAAATCCGTAGATGGAGTTAGTATCAACAGACTTATGTCTGCCCATTTAGACAAAGATTCACTGTGCGTGGTTATGGAAAGATTTATACTAACGAAAGTCAGTAACACATCTACTAATGCACAAACTCGGAAAATGGGTAAACCAGTCAGGTGGGAAAAGCTTCTGACTAATGAAAGATCTCCAGTAAAACAAGGGAATGGACTATTAACAGCCTAAACACTCTTGAAGTAGTAAACCTTTTGTCGTAAACGCGTTTCTCTGGAGCTGCACATTTCCCTTAAATACTTAATAAATGTAGAAGAGAATTTTTGTTAACATTTTATTATTCAAAGAGAAATTCGAACAGGAAGGTCTATTCAGAAAAATCATGTCAATTTAAATAACATTTCGGTCGAATGTCGATCCGGAAAATCTGAACTACAGACACTCATTAGAAAGCCAGTACCATTCCTAACCCCGATGCTTACCTGCCTGAGATAGTAAATCATCTCTGTGATGGATGAATTAATCATTTTCACAGCCAGAACAGTCACATGTGCAAGTTATGCGCCTGTTTCCTGTCTCTAGCCAAATGTTCTTTCACGGTAGGTTTCAAGGGAAGAAATGATATGAAAACAAAATAAGAAGGCATGAAAGTTGGTGTGAACGGAATCAGGTTCACGGAATTCTTAGTGAGATTTTTCCACACAACTGAGTGTCCCAGACCATGGGAAAATTAGCAGCGAACGTAACTTTGATATTCCATTATCATTTTGTGTGAATTGCTTGCCACTTATGTAATGGTAGAGCCATTTTAAAGGAGGGGTGAGATAGTGATGCGCAATCTGTAAGGACAGAAGAAATTGGTTCACAGGCGATAATTTCCTACCTTCTTCTTTAGAATTTGCACTCCTAATGTCAAAACCAGTGTATTAAAGCCATTGAGTGGTTAAAGAAGAGGAAATATGAAGTGACTAGTGTCAGGGGTAGGAACTCTAATAGAAAGAAGCAACAAAGCAGTTTTGTAACCGACAGAAATACAGTGTGTCTTAAAGCGCTATGTGAACCAGCTTGGCCAGTTCTGCGAGAATTCCTACTTATATTAGCCATAGCGCTTCCGTGTTGCGTTTCCGCAAGAGATCATGACGCATACTGCATAGAGGTATCCAGCTATTACTAAAGAAATATTTGGGCACCATTGAATGAGAATAGAGGGTGGCTTGTAAATCAGTACTAAACTGGTGTTACAAGATTGGAAAATTTAGGACTCTTATCATCACCGTATCATGGGAAGCAATGCAACTGCATTATGTTATTTTTCCTGAAATGCCTTGAGCATTAATCATTTCTACTTTTCACTCATTACGGGGGAGAATATTCAAGAGGTCATCCTAAGAAGATTAGAACACGCCGCAGATTAGGACACAAATGGTTATTCGATTCCTTCGAAATATGATCAGCAATTGGCTCCTCATGTAAAAAGTTTTAAATAATATTTTAAAGATAATTAATATTCTTAACTGCTTATAACATTGCTAATAACAAAACAAACAGTTTCAATGTTAGTGTTGTTTTATTTTATCGTTAAACTTATGTGGCCCAATAGAAACCTTGCCAAGTGTACGTAGTTTTTTGATTTTAGCCGCCACATGCATTGGTTACTGTGTTTTGGTGTCGTTCTGTGCCTTGTTTTTCCTTCAAAAGTCACATCCGCCAAAAGATTTGATGCGTCTAATTGCGAAGGTAATTTCTTACTTTATGTGAGCTTATTGGCAGTATGTATGAAATTTTTGGGATCCTTCATCGAATCACTACAACCCAGTGATCGAGAAACTTCAGAAAAAATCAAGGAAGCTTTCATGAAAAAGTGTTCAACATCAGTGGGGAAGGATAATGATTTTGTACGTTTAATTTGTGCTGATAACTTTCGTAGTGCTATCATGTTGGGGGCTTGAAGACGTCAGCGGCAAGTACACTTAATCGTCTAGTGGATCCAATTAAATGGCAGATGCCTGTAGAAAAGGTGTGCCAAAAACTATTTGAACTTGACTCCCAGATTTGCGACTTAAGATATGGTAAGCCCGGCAATGCAAAATAACTATGTTTGTAGAGAAAGTTATCGACCTTAAGGAGTTCGATTTCAAGAAGTCAAAAGTCAGAGATTTAAAGAAGATAATAGAAAAGTGGGGATTGGAATGTCGAGGTTGTTCAGAGAAGAGTGACTTTATTCAACTCATCAAGAGCAATATTCACAAATATGATTCTGATGCTGCAACTTATTTGGAAGCAAGAAACGAACTTTGAACTCATTCGTAACTCCTTTTGTACAAAGTTGTCACTAGCAGACTTTATAGTTTTCATATTTTTATTTGATGTGACTTTATGCTGTTTTGGGTTTGCTTAATGTTTTTTCTTAACTTTTTACAACAAATGGGCTTCTTGTAGGCCAGGTTTCTATGTATGAAGTGTAACCATTGAAATGTATGGTGAATCAATCTCACTATCGATGCTTGTATTTTTTTCTTTCTTAGTCAGGCGTAAGTGATGGAAGGTGAAATGCAGTTATTAAGACCATGTGAACTATTTGTACTGTTCAAACTCAATTAGTTTTTTATGGTTTGACGTTCTATCTAAAGAAAACCCAAGGTTTCATTTTGCGTAATATTAGCCCAGAGTTTCGGGGGAAAATTCGTTTTGCCAAGATTTAAGCCCTACATCTTTCATAATTTTATTGATGAATGTCAGACTTTTAATGAAAGGATAAAGACAATTACGTGCTCTGAACGACCGTGTTTATCAATGAACTCCTATGAAACCATTTTTATTATTAGAAACTCACAGTTTCATAAGTGAATTACTTGCAGTGGGTATACTAGTGTATTCGTTTTCATATCTATGCATTATCTCCCTCTATTATTCAATCTCTGGATTCAATTTCAATCCTGTGAGTTCCGGTTTCAAAACTTGATGTATTCGCTTACGGATCTTTAAGTCTTACGGATCCTTAAAATACTACACAACAGGTGTGTTTCAACCCCGGATTCAGATTTCAGATTTCAGATTTATTGGTTGAGGATAGAAGGCTTGCAGCCTATGTTAATCCTTTTCTAGTAGATTTCTGTGGTTGTCCAAACCCTTCTTGAACGAATCAATTGAGGTTGCAGACACCACTTCTTCTGGGAGTCGGTTCCAAGAGTTTATGACTCGATGTGAGAACCAGTACTCAACAGCAATATGATTTCTCCTTGGCTTTTGAACTCTCCTGCTATGTCCTCTAAGGTGTTCCGACCTGGTGGGAAGGAAAAGAGAGAATAGGTCAGGTCCGTAGTCATTATTTAAAATTTTAAACATTGTGATTAAATCTCCTCTCTGCCTACGGTATGACAGTGAGAAGAGATTTAAACTATCTAGTCTTTCCTCATATGATAAGTTAGCTATGCCGTGAACCATACGTGTTGCCTTCCTTTGAACACTTTCTAGAATGTGTGAATCCCCTTTTAGACACGGACTGGCGGCCTGGATGCAGTTTTCCAGTCTTGACCTAACCAGAGATGTGTATAAGGAGGTGAACATATCTCTGGTAATTCTTGTGAAGGCTCTGCGAATCGCCCATAAGGACCTGAAACTACGTGCAGCCACCGCGCGACAGTGTGCTGTAGTTTTTAAGTCGTGGCTAACTATGACACCTAAGTCCAAGTGAGTCTGAACTGATGGAAGTGTTATTCCCTCTAGTTCGTAGGAGCTCGTGCTTGCTTGTCCAATGCGCATGGTTGCACATTTTGCCACGTTGATCGGGAGCATCCATTCAACAGACCACTCCGACAGTTTGTTGAGGTCGTCTTGCAAGGTGGACGTATCACTGTTGCCCTTCAGCTCCCTCCAAATTTTTAAGTCATCTGCGTATAGGACCATAGGGGAGTCGGTGAGCAGAGGTAACTCATTGATATACAGAATAAAAAGGAGAGGACCGAGAACCGTGCCTTGTGGCACTCCGCTACTTACTGCTGTCCAGGAGGAGAGTTTTGAGTTGATCCTAACCCTCTGCCTCCTATCTATGAGGAATTCCCTGAGCCAGTCTAGTAGTCTGCCTTTGATACCAAGACTTTCCAATTTCATGAGTAGTCTTTTGTGAGGTACTTTATCAAAGGCTTTACTGAAGTCTATGAAGACGACGTCAACGGGTCTTCTGTCATCCTTTGATTTAACCCAGCTTTCTCTTGCAGTCAGGAGATTTGACAGGCATGAGAGGTTCCTCCGGAAGCCATGCTGTGCTCCAGATAACAAGCTGCTATTTTCCAGATAAGCCATGATGCTTTTCTTGATAATTCTTTCCAGTGTCTTGATTAAAGTGCTGGTGAGACTGATAGGCCTGTAATTTGAAGGGCTTTGTCTTGATCCTCCTTTGTGTATGGGAGTTACTATGGCGTCTTTCCAATCACGTGGCAACACTCCATTTTGGAGAGATAGCTTGAAGATCGTGGTCAAGGGGCCGGCTATGTGGGCTGATAGCTCCTTGAGAAGCCTTGGATGAAGACTGTCAGGACCCATTGATTTTCCTGCATCTAGTTTCATTAAGAAGTTGAGCACGATGCCTTGGTCGATGTCAACGGAATCTATCCCATGTTCTTCTGATGCAGCCAGAGCTGATCCTATAGGCAGTGATGACTCCTGAGTGAAGACTTGGGAGAAGTAGTTTGCCATTGCTTCTGCTTTTTCTTGATCTTCTTCGATTGTATCTTTGTCAATAATCAGGTTTGGGACACCATTGGGTGTTTTATTCCTGAAATTCAAGTACGAGAAAATTTTCTTAGGTTGTGCCTTTGCATTTTGGGCCAGGTGTGTCTCGAACTTCATCCTTGATTGGCGGATTTCTGCGATAGCTTTATTTCTAGCAGTAGTATATAATTCCCTGGTCTCAGAAGTCTCAAGTGTTGCAAACAGGTTCCAACATTTGCGTTTACGTCTGAGTAACTTACGAATCTCCCGGTTTATCCAAGGGGGGGAATGTTTCCGACCCTTTGGAACAGACCAAGGGATGAAGGGTACAGTTACTTGGGCGTAAAGTTGCTTAAATTGGTTCCATGCGGCTTCTACTTGGGACTCTGGATTGATGTACCAGTTTACTGAGTTGGCTGCTGAGACGATCGCATTTATGTCAGCTTTCCAAACGTTTGGTCGAGCTGGGGTTTTGGCCCTTGCTGCCGTTGCTGTGAACTTGAAAGTGAGCACAGCATGGTCACTTCTTCCTAACGGAGGAAGATGTTGTATGAGATCCACATCCTCACCGTGTGAGAACACTAGGTCCAGAGTTGATGAGGAGTGCTGTGAGTCATAGCGCGTGGGCTTAATGATATGTTGGACTAGGGCTAGCGATATACTAGATTCTAGCAGTTTATGGTCAAAGGAGTTGACTGAAGATGGAGTTGTTAGGCTCGACCAGTCAACTGTTGGGGCGTTGAAGTCACCGACTACGAGACTTCGACATTTTGAAGTCCAGGAGCCTAGCTTCTCTATTAGGAAGTCGTCTGCACTGCAGTCAGGACTGCGGTACACAGCAATGAGGTCAATGTCTTGGCCTATGCATTTAAGTCTGCAGCGTAGAAGTTCGCACGACTCACTTTCGTGGGCGAGTGCTTCGATACTACGCACGGTTAAGCCTTTCTTGAGGTAGATGACTACGCCCCCTCCTTTGCGGTTTAGTCGGTCTACCCTGTGCACTTCGAAGTTTGGCAGGTTAACTTCGTTGTCAGTGACATCGGGTGTGAGCCATGTCTCTGTGATAATAATTACATCCGGGTTTCCGGTTTCTATCATGTTTGCCAGCTCAGTCCTTTTATTTAACAGGCTGCGGGCGTTTGTGTAGCAGACTGTTAATTCAGATTGGTGCTTCCCCGGCCCACCCACAGAGGTTTCGGGATCATTAAACTGCGAACTCGGACAACCCGAAAACCCTTAATCTTAAGGTTCTTCTCACCGTTCCGGCGTCGCTCACTTAATTCTAGTGCCGCAGCCTGTCTTTTGACACGATCTGCCAGGCTTAAGTCAGCGCGGACATATATCCCTGATCCTTTGAGAATATGAGAGTTGCTTAGAATAGCGTCCCTCTCCGCTTTAGAGTTTAGTACGACTTTGAGGAGACGTACAGGTTCACTTACTGTAGGGTCAGGCTTTTGACCTATTCTGTATACGCTGTGTATAGTAATGCCTGATACTGTTTGTGGCAGTAGCTTGTCTAAAAGGGGCTTGACCAAGTTAAGGTCATGCTCGAATCTGGTCTTAGGGTCGAGAGCCAGTGACTCCTCCACTTTGTGGAGAATGAGAGACCTATCAGAGAGATCGGGTTTGCTTTCCGTTACTTTCTTGCCCTGAGGCGTAAGTGTGTTTCTATCCTTCTTGGGCGGTGTGGCCGAAGTGTTATCCTTATCTCGCTTTTTGCGAGAGACTACGGTGCGCCATTCATTGGCGTCCTCCTCGCTAATCTTAGTGGGGTTCGTCTGTCTGCTGCTCACCGGTGTGGATGAGGCTTGTTCCGCCAGTCCCTGGGCGACTGGGGCTGCAGGTTTTCGACCCCTAGTACGCCTCTTCTTCACGGCAGTCTTTCCATTACTGTCACTGGAGGGCTCATCCAGTATCGTGGGGGCGACCTGGGTGTCTGTAATATGGTGGGTGTTCTTCTGTGCTGTAGAGCACTCACTTATTGGCAAGGTCGCATCTGGGACATGTGCTGTTTTGTCAATGACGCTAGTCACGTCATCGCTATCTGAGCAATAGTCGGTATTCTTCTGTGGTGGAGGACGCTTGCAGTCCATGAGCTTTAAAGCCCCACTAAGAGTAGCTATGGCCTCTGTAATACGGAGTTTAGTTGTACTACAGCAGTCGTTGCATAACCAGTTCGCTAGAGGTTTGCAGCAGCGTTTGTATGCTGCTGGAGTAAGGTTCGTGCACATACTGTGAAACCATCTCTTGCAGTTATCACACTGCATTCCCTCATCCACTGGAAACTGGCACATAGCCCTTCCGCAGCGGTTTCTTTTAATAGGCATTTTATTTAAGACGAACCAGGAAAAGTTAAATACAACTTCAAATATATATATATAACCTTTGTAAATCAGTGATAAAAGCTAATGAGTGCACAAAGATAGATATATGTGGCTATTATGTTATAAGAACACTTATTATAATTAATAGACTCAGATCTGAAACGTAAACTAACTTCGACCAGAATAAACTGATTTAAAGTTAAATCTGTGGACTTTTGAAGCGTATAACACAACAAAATCCAATTATAAACAAGAGCGTGAAAA